AAAGCATATGTTATATTGAACTCTAACTCCTATAATAAAAGTATCAAAACATTTTATATTTAGAAAATATCGTTATTAATTTGTCTCTATATTTAAAAATTCAAATACATTACATAATGTAATTTATAAAATTTTATTTGTTTTTAATACACGGGCAAAAATATACAATGACGTCAATTCCGTGTCGATTATTAATTGTAGTTTTTGAAATTCGTATGTTTTACTCGTTTTCTCAATTATAAATGAATACCTGTACAACTTATGAACAATAGTAATAATTGATTGCATATCTAATACAGACATTATATTTGCTCATTATGTATACGTCAAACACATATCAAACTTGAAGTACAATTTTATACAGTGTAATTCGCTTTGATATTATGTACTGATACTGTAAGTACGATATAATTGCAGTAACCAAGGCGTAATGAAATTAAGAACGGTTATAATATATTATATTGTACTTACAATTACATTATGAATACGTTGAAAACGGTGAACACGGTGGAATCCAGAGGGAATATATTGTGACTAAGAATAGAGACTACTTGTTTTATCACTGCAATGGTTGTTCATAGTATGATATCCTATGTTATTATAATAATTATGATCAGTGTAGTGCATGCTAAATTTATATTCAGAGAAACTGTTTAAACAGAAATACTTTCCTGAGAACTGAGAAATACAATTTTTATTTCAACTTAAGTCATGCTGTTTGTCATGAAAACATTTCTAGTTGTTTTCAAATTTATGTTTATGGATAAGTAAAGTGTTATGTATAAGTCATTTGAAAAAACAAAAACTGTTTACTAAAACAAATCAGAAGTAATGCTTGATTATTATTTATTTTTAATAAAATATACCGTAAATAGGTTATGATATATGAAGTAAATCCTAGTATTTTATAGCAATTTATTCGATATATTCTATAAAAGTATGTGTCGTTTAGTCATTGACGACCAGAATCTCATAAACAGGTGAACAAACAGTTGTGGATATTATAGTGTCACAACTTTTTGACATTTATGTGTTGTTTTAGAGAAACACATTTTTAAACAAGTTGAAATTTCTCAATTAAATGAATGAATATTATCTGAAAACAAAATTGTAGTATATTATATATTTTTTATTAATAAATATATACAGTATATATATTCATATTATATTATATCTTAAATTTATATATTTGTCAAATGATTTTTAACACAAATAAAATGAAAACCGATTCAAAAGAATGTGTAAACTCTAAGAATTTTTCAAACAAACTCACAGAATCTTATTATAATCGCATAGAAATTGATATTCCGTAAGTGATATATATAATTATTGAAAAATTGTTTTTTAATTTAAATATCAAGCAAAATGACAAATTTATTAAATTCTTTAAATTCCAACAGAATTCCCATTGGATTACATGAAAGTCAGAGCACAAGAGAGTTGTGCCCTAAAGATGACTCCGACGAAGACATCATTCTCTATGAGAACGGAATCCAGAATCCAATTCCCATTCCTGAGGAAACCATTTATGGAAATCATATGAAATCTATTGAAGAAAACATTAAAATAGTGGACACAACCAAATGGACTAAAGCTTTGAAAGGCATTTGTTTGACTATAATATCGGCACTATTTTTCTCTGTAACCACTGTTATAGTAAAGTATTGCAAAGATGTAGACCCTTCAGAAATGGCATTCTTCAGATTCTTAGGTAATTCAGATTCTTGAACTTATTTTTCATATATATTTATTATTACTTAATTTGTTTTTGATATGAAGTATATACACTTCACAGTACTGTATAATATTCAATAAGTTATATAGCGAAACACATTTTTAACCATCTTAATGAATCATGAGATTAAAACTGAAATAGTCAATTTATTCAATAAATGATATATTACTAACATAACTTATTATAATGTACAGTACAAACCATTTGTAAAAATACATTATACATTGTTTCATTGTTTGAGAGGGGATTACATCTCAACAAAACTTTCACTCTCTTTGTTACTTACCGTACACTGAATACTCGCATTTACAATATTCCCCAGAATATAAAACTTATGTTGGATAAATTCTATGGAAAAATAAGATTGAAATTAATTATTTATTTTTAATGTATAGGAATATTATTGTTCACAATTCCTGTGGTAATGGAGATCAAGAGTAATCCATTTGGTCCCTCAAAATCGCGTATTTGGCTAATACTTCGAGGAATAGCCGGTGCCACGAGTTTATACTTCAGATATAGTGCCCTCCATTACATGTCAATAGCCAACGCTACTGTAATCGTACTCTCAATGCCTGTATTTGTGTTCATTTTCGCCAAAATATTCCTCAAAGAATCGTTTGGTTTGTTTCACGTGTTCTCGCTATTCGTTACACTAATTGGTATCGCATTTGCATCGAAAGTCAACATTAGCTTCAGTCACACAACCATTAATATATTTAAAGCTGACAATCACAGAGAGTTAATTGGACTC